CTCTATTCATTAAGAGAATGTAACTATACATCTATCCTAACCACTTTGAATACACAGATACAAAATGGACATTCATCTGTATCCTCTTTTTTTGTTTAGTTCTGTTATTTGAATAGGAACCAAGACAATATTTGTCTCCAGAAAGAATTTTAGGACTACTGCTTGCCTTTCATGTAATTAAAGAGTTTGAAAAGTACCGGTGCCGGATGTTCTATAATGTAGAACCTGACAGTGAACCTGTCAGCCTTTTCATAGTTGATAATTTTCTTATTTACTTCTTTCATTTGACTGAAATTGAGAAAGTCATGATTTTTATATATCCTTGGTTCAGCTTTCATAGTTCATATATAGCAAGGAATTTATCCATTTCTTCTGAATATTTCATTTTATTTAGGTACAGATTCTCAAAGTAATTACCAATGATCTTCTGGATTTCAGCAGAATCTGCTACTATTTCACCACCTTTCTTTTCTTGTTTTGGTAAGATTGGCTAAGGTTTGGACTATTTAGTTTAATTTTACAAAGAACCAGTACTTCAGTTCATTGATTCTTTGTTTTTTTCTTTAATCTCAACTTCACTTATTTCTGCTCTGATCATTATAATTCCCTTCCTCATGTTAGCTTTAGGTTGCATTGTTCTTGTTTTTCTAGAACTTTAAGATACACAAAAAAAGTGATTAATTGATTTGAGCTTGAGTTTGATGTGTATTTCTGATGTGAGCATTCACAACTATAAACTTCCCTCTTAGAACTACTTTCCTTGTGTCCTGTAAGTCCCATTATGTTGTTCTGTCATTATTGTTTGATACTAGAAACTGTCTAATTTTTTCTGAGACCCAGTGATTATTCAAAGGAGTATTATTTAATTTCCATGTATTTGAAGAATTTTCATGATTTTTTTTGCTATCAATTTTTAGTTTCTTTACAATATAAGCTGATAATATGCTTGGAATGTTTTGGATTATTTTGCATTTACTTACGTGTGCTTTATTGGATAATTTCTGGTCTGTTTTGGAAATAGTCCTTGTGCTTACAAAAATGTCATAGAACTTTAATGCAATTCCAACAGATTCCTTACAAAACTCGGGGAAAACCCCTAAAATTCTTATGAAACAAAAAGAGACCAAGGATAGCAGAAGCAATCTTGGATAAAAAGAGCAAAGTGAGAACTATCACAATCACAGACATGAAATTATATCACAAAGCAGCTGTGATAAAAACAGCATCATACTGTCACAAAAATAGATAAGAACATCAATGGAGCAGAATAAAAGATGCAGGAACAAGCTTCGACACTTTCATCTTCAATAAAAGGAGCAAACATACGGAATGAAAGATAGCCTTTTAAATAAATTGTGTTGGGAAAACTGACTCTTTACATGCTTCAGACTGAATCAAGACCCATATCTCTCACAATATGGTAAACAAAAATCAATACATCTAAAAATTAAAAGAGAAACAATCTGCTGGAAGACAATATAGGTAAAACCTTTTGTAATTTTTAAAGAATACAAAATAGTGATAAGAAAGCATTAGAAGTGATATAAGATTTCACTAAACAATATAATAGGAAATAAACAATGGTTGCTATATTACATGATGCTATCTTCAAATTAGTTGTTCAGATTACCAAACATACATGTGTAAGAGTCATTTAAAGAAAAAAACAAAACAAAACAAATCAATAACAAGGAAGTTATAAGAAATTCAAAAGGTGAAATAGCTCAGTGAACTAAGCACCTGCTCAGACAAGTGCAGGGACCAGGTTTTGATCCCTGACACCACATGCTGCACCAGCTCCACCCCCAGGTGCACTGAGCTATTCACATAGACCAGGTGTGGTGGCACATGCTTGTAATTCCAGGGCTGGGGAGGCTGAAAACAAGAGAATCAGTACAAATTTGAGCTGCATAGTGAGACCCTGTACCAATTACAAAGAAAGAAAGAAAGAAAGAAAGAAAGAAAGAAAGAAAGAAAGAAAGACAGACAGACAAAAGATTCAGAGGAAAAATATTGTAAGTATCAATTGCTCCTTTCAAAATACCAGCAGAAATTGACAATATAATTATCCAAACTATTTGCATATATGCCTAAATATATTTTTCCTGTCTTTCATTTGTCCTTTTCCTCATCCCACTTTTTCCTTCCCATTGAACAATTTCTTTCCCTTTCACAGTATCTGTTGTACCTTTTAGATTTTTATTACTCTTTCAGGTTCTCACACTAGTGAGATAATATGATGTTTGCACATGTGGGTCTCGTTTATTTCACTTACTAATATAGTCTCTAGCTGCATCCATTCATCTACAAAAGCCTCAAATTTATATTTTTATACCCAAATAATACTCCATTGTATAAAAATACCATATTTTTTTAAATCCATTCCTCAGTAGATGGACATTTGGGTTGTTTCCAAGAATTACCAATGACAAATTGCACTGCTCTAAACATGGGTGTACA